TGCATAGAACATTCACATTATATTGTTAAATTCGTTTTATTATTAATTCTGATAGGAATCAAATAGTTAGTATTTTATTGGTGTTTGTTTAATCTTTTATTTTTAATTAAAAATTGTAATATTTTTTAACCAGTAGTTTGTGACGTAGGAGATATATCAAAATATTTTTTTATTTCTCCTTTCTAGATGAACTAGTTCCTGAAATATTGACCACGTATTATAAAACATCAGTATAGTTAAAAAATAACTGCAAATTTGCCAACAAATTTTTTCGTGGGAAAATTGAGTCCTGAAATGTCGACCACATATTTTGAAACACCCAGTATAGTGAACATAGCCCCATATAACAAACAATCCCTATAAACTTAAAACGAGGTCGAATAGGATTTATAAACAATGTTTCTCATTATTATTTTGTAGGTTAAAATTTATTATCCAAAATATGATGAGACGCCCAGTATAATTAGCATTAGTCTAACAAAAATTATTGTATTTCCAATGCCTTATCGTTATAATAAATGTCCAATCCCAAACCAGGGGTCGTATCACTGCCACATAAATGACATAACAATTTCACTGTCAGTTTGCAAAAAATTTTTCACATAGTAATTTTCCGAAGAAAATCTCACCGACCATGACGGACAACCGTAGACACCTGCCAGACGGGGAAAAGTCGTAGTCGCGAGTCCGATCCGCTCTGCCTTGACGGGTTAACGAAAACTCGTCGGCCTTTCATGGCCCCGGGAACAATCGATGCCGGGGCGCGGATAATAGGGCTCGTCGTTTCCCCCCGTCATCGCAATGCATTCGCGTCGCATTAAATTGATCGACGCGTTCGAGATGACATTTTCACGGGCTAACAAAACCGTTTCCGATAACGAATGCATTCGCCGGAAAATGAGCGTCGCGAGGGTGACGGCGATGTGACGAATGAGCGTTACGTCAATGAGATTACCTCGATTTGATAGTCACTTTGATTGCCAATCCCCGACGCATTTCTGCAGTATTACCCCGTGCCGGATAGATAGGACGGGAGACACCGTTAACGAGTATCCGATGCAACTCTGCTGCAGTCGAACACACGATAGAACCCCTCTGGTGGCAGTCATCCCCTTTCAAAGATTGCGCAGTCTATATGTCAGTCGGATCTGACCCAGAACGGATACATTTCCGTTGATATTTATCTGTAAATTAACTACCTACTTATTTGTACCCCTGTTTACTGATTTATTCATCTACTCACCCATACACTTACTCGTCTACTCGACTGCTCAACCACTCATCTACTCGACTGCTTATCTATTCAACTACTCCACTACTCATCTACTCGACTACTCCACTACTCATCTAATCGATCATCTACTCACCTGCTCAGCTATTCACATATTGACCTAAACACCCATGAACCTTGTTATTTATTCAACCATTCACTTACGCAGCCTATTCACCTACTCAAGTACGGACCTTGTCAGCTTGTCACCTACTCGCTCACTCACCTACTTACCTACTCGCCTACTCACCTACTCACCTACTCACCTACTCACCTACTCACTTACTTACATACTCGCCTACTCACCTACTCACTTACTCACTTACTCGTTTACTGATTTACTCACGTACCAACCTATTTATCCACTAACCTACCCATCTGTTGCCTTAACTCTGTTAATATTTCTTTCTCTATAACTCCGTATCCAGGGCTGGCAAGGCTCTAGATGACGTTAATCTACAGAATATTTCATTCTCCAAGTTCATCAGAATTACAATTTATGAATAATGTTTCTTAATGCTTATAATGCTCTACCAACTTTCCTCGAGGTTCTCCAGCCCAATCCGACAAAAATTTGATTTTCAATTCTTAACTTCTCCGAGTCGTGGTACCTTGCAGCTACCCGATTCCTGTCAGAGCCGTAACATTAAAGGGCCGCGGTCTCCCAACGTATTTAGGTATTGGAGAAGCTATAACGCTCGCGTAGAGGCAACTTCGTAGAAGGTGCAACGATCTGAATAAAACGTAGTTTCCGGGAAATATACGCCGTGAATATAAAGTGGCCCTCTGTAACGTTCGCGAAAATTCGCCATGGCCGTGGATTTACTTTTCCGCGGCGGCCGTTTCCGGGGTTGAAGAATGGCTCCGGCCTAGATCGACTGCAAATTTTTACGCCTGTTCCCTGAGGAGACCTTCGTTATCCCTGTACATCAATGAGTCGCGGAGATTTTAGTTTTATTAACTGCGCCGTTCGGTTTACCATGCACGGAAAAGACATTGAGAAATTTCTGGATTAAGATGATCGATTGTTCTTATTGTTACCATTCATAATCGTGAGTTAGAATGAAAACTGGTTAGCGTTTTAAAGGTCAGGTGTGAAATTTATAATAAAGAACTTTTGCATCCAACTGTCTCATGGTTGCACAGATTTTTATAATTCTTCTAGAAATTCATATACATACAGGATGTTCCAGAAATTATTATCGAAATTATTTCCACTGTTATTGGCGTGGGAAAATGTTTTCCGTTGAAAGACTTCCTTTATTATTAATTAAATTACATAAAAAATTATTATTGTTATTATACTTTATGAAATAATTTCATTTTACATAGTTTTGGAGTTATTTTTTTTTTAGAAATTTTTGTTTACATAGTAACATTCTACGAATTTTTTAATTAACTTGGAAGTGGGAATATGCAAAGATTTTTTTTTGGAAATGAGGTATCTTCTTTACTTGTATCACTGGATAGCAATTCGCAATTGGTTGATACATAATCCACCGATTGCAATTCTATCTCGAGGCGTTGTGTTACGTGTAATATCTTCCTGATGGCATTATTAAGGCTACTGTATGGCTGAGAAATTGATACCCAGCGATCTATATGGCAATTACAGTTACAATCCTCCATTTAAACAATGGTATTACTTCTTTTTACAGCATTAACAATTTGGGTGGTCAATGTGTTGATATGCTATAACGAGATTCCCATGAAAGAGAATTATGTTTTCAAAGGTTCAAATTTGTTAATTAATGCTAATTATAAGTACAAAATTTTGGTCGAATAAAATTGTCGTACTTATATGTTGCGAAATATAATTAATTTTTAAAAGTATCAAGGATTGATTCTAAATACGGAAGGCGTCGCGTGGATCAGCTTTTTTTTTGCGCAGGTCTGGACACCTTTCAAATTCGAAGCCATGAATTGCTACTTTGCGCCAGAAGCGATTAACGCTGTTCGCGGGTTTTTGCCCTCGTCACTTCCGCGCCTTTCGAAGTCGCCCTGAGGTTCGACGCTTCGTTGAATCTCGATTGTCCTCTTATTTCATAAATCGCCTTGTTATCTCTCGGACACACCTTTCCTATAGTTACTATTGACTATTATGCGCGGCGAACACGCGTCATCCCGGCCTTTTACCGGAACCACGACTGGCGCGTTAATTCCGCGCTTGATAATTAACGTTAAATAGGGTGTAATCAGATTGCGGAAGATGACGAGGTTCATTGCGCTTCTAATTGGGATATTGTCTGATGCAGATCAGATCTATCTAATTAGGAATCTATAACCGGAGAATATTTTTTATTGCCACGATTTATTGTAAATATTCTTTTCATTTGTCGTTAGGAATTGTACATAAAGTTACCAGGATAGTAGAATATTAGAATATTAGAATATTAGAATATTAGAATATTAGAATATTAGAATATTAGAATATCAGAATATCAGAATATCAGAATATTAGAATATTAGAATATTAGAATATTAGAATATCAGAATATCAGAATATTAGAATATCAGAATATCAGAATATCAGAAGATCAGACGATCAGGAATATGAGAATATCAGGAATATCAGAAATATCAGGAATATCCGGAATATCAGGATACCAGAATATCAGAATACTACCACGAAAAGATGAAAAGAAATTTACACCTTACGTTACCATTTGTTTTAGCAGTCGAGCTTATCAGAATTGTTGTATTCTTAATAATGTTCCAACAGTCTTTTAAAGGTTAACTATTAACAATAAAAAAAAGCGTTTCATTTCGGTTTATGCAAATCGAATAATTTCCACATTTATGAAGTCTACTTCTATCATACGTCTTCACCACTAGTCTGACTCAGTACTACAGGTAAATATGTCAGAAGCCTAAAAGCATTTTAATATTCGAACTTCATTCTGTTATGACAATATTTAAGGAAAAATTAATTTCCGAACACTACACACTTATGAATAAAAGAACTTTAGGGACCTTGTACCGATCAACTACAAAAACCTCTTTGTACAATTTCGAACTTCCGGGCTCCTAAGTAGAACATAACCTCAAAAGATCATTGCAATGCTTCCTGCTCGCGAATCACCGACACACACACACACACACACACAGTTGACGAAACACGGTGCATTACGCGTATACTGGATACGCGATACTAAGACCGTGGAAAGACGATCGTCATGGAAGACATGATCAGTCGAAATGGGTCCCTCGAAAAATCAGGTTAAGTCGCGGTGCGATTAACAGAGAACGGTGTGAGTGTCCCGCAACGCGGAATCGGTCTATTTTCGGTCACTGTGGTTACGTCAGAGGTGGGATCGAATGAAGCAGCTCGGGAAAAATTCGATGGAGAGTATCTCGGTTAGCCAGGGCACCTCCGTCGATTCAGTGAAAGTGATTGCAAGTGTGTCCGTACAGCGGGAACTTGTATAAAACCGGGGTGTGGACGAGAGGATGGTACACTCAAAGTCCACCTCTCGAGACAAGCAACAATGAGGACCTTCATAGTAGTAAGTAAACTCAGCTAGCTTCGGTAAACGAGTCTTGGACAGAGATATCTGATTTAAGAGTATATAGTAAAGTATTTTCTAAAAATTTTAAATACCTTTCGAATTTGAGTTTCAAACTAGCCTGTCAGGGCTGGATCCTGACTTGTAGACCTAGAATCTGGGGATAAGCTTTTTGGGGTGGAAGCTTAGTTGATAAAGTAGTCGAATATTGGTGCACCTAAAGAATGGCAGAAATTATGTTTTTAAATTCTCTCTTTACTAATTTGTCTCTAAGAATGCCAGTTGCCAGGAGAAACAATACATTCAGAGTTAAAGAGGTTAGAAAGGGGTACTCAAAAAGAATAGTAGCTGTGAAGTGATCAGTACTTTACTTCATCGGAACTTTCAAAGCACCTGCAGTACAAAGCAATAGATTCTCGAGTTTGTTGAAGTGGGTACGGGTACAAAGGATATAGGCAGGAAGGGAATCGTGAGGAGTATATACGTATACGACTGATCACCACTAACTATCACGTTACAAGGAAAATCCCTCGATCAAAGACCAATCGTCTCTTTGTGCAGATATGCCTTCTGGCTACCACTGCCTTTGCCAGTGAGGCGGAACAAACGAAGCCAGAGAAGACAAAAAGGGGAATTCTCCTGGGTAATGGAGGTCTGGGCGGATCATCTGGCGGACTCGATCTGAGCTCGGGGTCTAGCTATGGCGGTGGTTTGGACTCCAACAGTCTTTCTGGAGGATTCTCCGGTGGACTATCTGGGGGATTGTCTGGAGGACATTCTGGTGGAATCTCACTTGGAGGAGGTGGAGGTCTTGGTGGAGGACTGTCCGGTGGTCTTGGTGGAGGCCTTTCTGGTGGTCACGGTGGTCTTTCTGGTGGGCTTGGTGGAGGCCAATCTGGAGGTCTCAGCCTTAGTTTTTCCGGAGGTCTTGGCGGAGGACTGTCCGGGGGGTTGGGCGGGGGCTCAGGTGGCGACGGTAATATCCGCACCATCACTCAACAGGTCCCAGTCGTCATCCCGCAACCGTATCCCGTATCAAAGCCTGTGCCCGTTCCATACTACATTAGGCAAACTGTTCCCATCATCAAGGAAATACCTGTCCGTGTACCCCATCCCGTTCCAATTACAGTCGACAGGCCTGTAAATGTTCCACACATTGTGAGAGTCCCAGTACTAATTCCCCAACCAGTGCCAGTTCCTCAAGCTGCTCCTCAGCCTGCTCCGGCAGCCCAGCCTGTTCCTATCATAGTTACCGTGTCTTCGGGATCTGCCGGTGGATCTGCTGGAGGTTCTGCTGGGGGTTCTGCTGGGGGTTCTGCTGGGGGTTCTGACGGATCTGGACTGGGCGGTGGCTCTGCTAGCCTGGGATCAGGACTTGGAGGTTCAGGATCAGGCTTTTCTTCAGGTTCCGGCTTCAGTGGATTTAACCTAGGCTCTGGATCAGGTTTAAGCACTAGCTTTAACTTTGGTTCTGGTCAGGGATCTGGATCTGGATCTCTTAGCCTTTCCTCTTCAGGATCGGGACTGGGCTCGGGATTGGGCTCTAGCCATGGATTGAGCCTTGGATCTGGACTCAGCTCCTCCAGTCTTGGATCTGGTCTCAGTTCTTCCAGCCTTGGATCTGGTCTCGGTTCCTCCAGCCTTGGATCTGGTCTCGGTTCCTCCAGCCTTGGATCTGGTCTTGGTTCCTCTAGCCTTGGCTCTGGTCTTGGTTCCTCCAGCCTTGGTGGTGGATACGGATCAGGATATGGGTACTCTGGTTCGGGTTCCATTGGAGGAGGATCTGGTGGACTGTTAGGAAAACAGTGGTAGATTCGATGGATCAACTCATATCGAAATATATTTTGTATAGTTGGATGTATCCATGTAACCTCCACCCCCCTTTTTTAATATTGTGATAATATCTTTTTGTACTCTTTGATAAAATTATATTTTTTTACTATACTTTTAAGAAAATTGCTTTCCCTCCTGCTCACTATTGCCATATCCCAATAACATTTTCATCTATTAACTCGAATATCATAAGTGTGTAAAGATTAGTGAAATCGACGAGTGCATAGACGGAGCATGCTTTTTCATTTGCGAATATCTCATTTAATATAAACGTTGCGATGGGAGCAATTTTAGATCCCGAGGAAGCCAATCGGGAGCAATTTTTTAAGAAGCACTAATATTCGGCGCCAACTATTCTCCGGTATGTTGTGTGTATGTAATATGATTTGTCGGTAACAAATATATGCACTGTATCTGTTTAAAGGATGAATGTAATATGAATGGACAGTAGATTTTTATGCAAAATTAGATTTCCTAAAATAATTTATGACGACAGGAAGAAATCTGAATTTTTTTGCATTGTAAAATGACTGATAGAATGTGTCACCGAAGATGTGATTGTTATAAATATTACATTATCGGAAATATTTAATTTACTGTCAAATAATTTCGTGCGAATTAATGTAAGTCAAAAATTCTATTCCAAAAGCAGTAACAGTTATTGTCAAGGACAAAAACAGTCAACCGTCGATCGAAGAATTCCCATTTCCGACAAATTTTTACGAGTGTGTGAGAAATACGTGTGAGCAAAGGGCTTTTCCAAGATACAATAAAATAGCCTGCAATAAACGATCGCCTACTATACTAATATTCCGCGTCAACTATTCTGCGGTGTTCAAAATATCAGGTGAAGGTATCTGTCTGATTTATCTACAGTAAATGAAGAAATTTTACATCAACAGTAGGTAATATCGCAAACTGTAATCGATATGCAGTTTCCTACTGTTACCACACGCTCGTACATATTTTCTGTTTTACCAACAGTAGGTCTTGCAGTATAAATTACTCGAATAGTGTCTTCTTTAATATTAACAAAGTGCAATTATGCACAGCGACACGAATAGTAAATTTGTTGGTATATAACTATACCCACTAATATCAACAGTAAAAAAACAATTATCAAGATAGCGAACTTGAATAATTTATTGAAAAACATAATGATTTATCAACTTACGAACATTTGTGTACCGATGTACCAACAATCGAATTGAGACTCACCTGAAACAAAAAAGAAATTTCTCGTTACTTATCGTATAGTCTGTTACAGTTTTATCATACACAGATCTAAATCGAACCACTCTACGATACAGTGCATACATTTGAAATATCGTTCCTTCCGTAACCAGTAATTCCCACTTCAAGCTGACGAGTAAAAACAATTGCATCCACCGCGTACACCTGCTACCTCTCTAGAAACATGTCTTGGAAGATATTGAAGCTATAGAAGAAACTGTTCCGGCATGTTAAGCAACGTGCATAAAACCCTGGGTAATTTTCTCTCCCTTCCAGACCTCGTTCCATGTTAATTACTTGAAAAGGCATTGTTATTTCGCCGTGGAAACTTCTGGGCAACCGCCTCCTTTGCTAATATCACGGAAAAACTGTAATTTATGACTCGTGGCACGGTAATTCTTTTCTCTCCAAGGGGAAGCCGCACATTCCTTTTCAAATTAATAACGCGACCGCGCCTCGTGTTTATGGAAATTCTAAAAATGCGATATTTGCGAAAAAATTTCAAACCTGGTATAACAGCGTGGAATTTCAGTAAATGAAAATGATGTTGAATATTAAAGAAAATTGTCAAAAATGTTTTGATTTGGTAGACATGATGATGGGGCATGAGGATGGAAGGGGCAAGGGACAGGGCGTAGTAGCTAAGGGATATGAGATGGTCTGTGGTCAGACACGTGTAACAGTAACTACTAGAGTTATATCCAATAACTCCACATGTAGAAATTTTAAAACTGGTCTGGTACAAATGTTCGTCAAATGTTAGTTTGAAAATTGTTTATGGTTTCAATGAAACTGATAAAACAATTTTTGTATTTATTCGTGACATTCTTTTATTTTGTATTACAGCAATTGGTAGTCTTTTTTTTAATGGTAAACAAATAACCTGACATTATTTTTTAGTCTGTTTAATACCGACATGTTTACATTTTACCTGTATTTAGACTGCCTTACTTTCTCACTAGAATGAAGTAGAGCCGGTTGCAGAAGGCGTCGATCGATGGATTTGCATATTTTATATTTGGTTACGGTTACGAAAGCTTACGTACAAAACCCAACAGAACTTTGTAACAAAGTATTGACTTTTCCGCCTTAGATGATGATTTGAAAACTTAGCGATCATTTTACTGAAGTGTGTTTCATTTACCACATCAAAAAACACATCAGTTCGTAAATTACAATTAATATCTACATTTGTAGCAAAGTCAATTATGGTATGTCAACTATTAAAACTCAGTAATTTTTAACAAAAAAATAGCATTATTAACTGATCACATCTATTTCGTCCATATTTTATGAAAAGATTGTTTTTATAAGATTTCCAATTATTGTTTTCCGAATGAATTATCAGAAATAAAGCCGCCACAAAGTCCGTTCATTTTCCAATCCTGCTCGGTCCATTATGCTACTCCACCTGGCCGTAGCAATCTTTTTCCACGGTGATTATTGGATGGTAACAGAGGAACCCGCCGGTAATTAATTAATCACTCGTTGAAGACTTCGCCCATCCAGCCGCGGGAGTAATTTGTATTATTAATGTAACCCTGTTCACGGAGCGATCATTAGAGATCCAACGATATCGTCGACTATTTATCGCCATCTGGCGCCATCAATTTCCCTTCCTCTCCTCCACGAGCGTCGAATTCGTCGAGCAATATGTATCTGAATTATGGCATGGCACAGATTGGAGGAGTACTTCTCTTTCCACGTCTCATTTTTTGTTATTACGTCGATCTGTCATTCCAGGATCGAATTAATCTTACGCAATATTCACAATGGTGTATAGACTTCACAGATTAATTGTTCAAAATTGTTAAATGATGTTAACATAGGTACTGTTTTATATACCACCCAGTTAAGCTGCGTTTACACTACATAACAAGACTATGTTATATAACAGTTTGTTAGATAATAAATTTTTACATAACTTTGCTAGTAACATGTTTTTATAATTCGTTTCAAGATTATACCTTTTGGAGAAGTCTTGTAACAAGTTTGTATAACATTTCGCATCTCATTATTAATCATGGCGTCACATTTGATGGATAACAACATATAACATTATATAACATTTTTCGTTCTGAATTCATAACAAGTTTTATAACTTTGCTACATACCGTGCTATGTTATATATAGTGTAGACGCAGCTTTACACTAAGTTATGTGTCTTTTCCTTTATTTTGCGACGTCCTAAATTTTTAGACATCCCTGTGTGTTTCCTTAATTACTTCTTCCTTCCGTTTCTGTGTATTTCTGGTGGTCAGTGTGTTCCATTGACCATGGGGAAGTGAGAAAACGTGTCTGGCAGAGGGACTTTGTGAACTTTCAGTGAAAGAAAAGTTTGCTCTGGTGGACGTGTCCTATTCCTTATTTATGTCGGAACATAGGAAAAAGCGGGACGAGGTGAGCGGGACACGAACCCGCGACCCTCCGGATTCTTCAGACCGTGCCTTAACGACCACAGCCATGTTGGCCTCCCTTTTTTCTTACATTCCTAACTCTTCTTCACGGACCTGGACGTCTCCATCGTTTAACACAATGTGACTTAAATTAAAAGTGAACATTTTTATTTATATTGAAAAGACTATGGTTGTGCTTTCATTGTTGAAAAATTATATACGATTTACCAAAATAATGCAAATCAAGAAGTGCAAACTTTTTCATAAAAAAAGAACTAAAAATTATATACGGTTTTTCAAAATAATGCAAATAAAAAGTACAAATTTATTCTCAAAGAAAGAATAAAAAATTATACACAGTGTCTCAAAATAATGCAAACAAAGAAATGTGCACTTTTTTTATTTGCATTATTATCAGACACCGTATATTTTTTGTTTCCGAAAATGGAAAGCATTTCCATAAGAGTGAATAATCATGAAACCCTGAAATGTGATTCTGTGATATTTAAATAGTAGGTGAATTTAAATATTAACGATTAATTATGTACAATGCTGAAAGGTGAATGGAATTGTTTCTCCTCTTATCTCACGTAGATCACGCGAAAGTTCAATTAATATTCTCGAGATACTTTTTCTTTTACCACAGAAACTCTCCGCCTGATTTCAAACTGTATCAAACATTCTCAGACCTTATCAAATAACGTCAAACAGTATGAAACATTAAGTCAACTATCCCATTTGTTTCGAACTAATCATTTAGTTAGACCCTCAATTAAATTATTTAAAAAAATTTTCATTCCGTTATAAAATACAAGTACACTATAATAGTTTAAATCCAAAATTCAGAAATGTTATATTAATTTTGTTTCATACTTTGCAACAGTTGTTGCTAATTATTGCCAGTTTACCTTCACCATGTCAAACCGTGACTCAGTATACTTGCCTAATTGCGTCTGTCGTTAACTGTATACGTTCACTAATTCGCGTGTTACACGTTAGAAACAACTTCATTCGAGTAGCCTGCAGCGAGGACAGGTACATGAACCGATCAGCCAGAGCGAACGCAAGGACTTGTTTTCTACATGTTGCCCGAGGGATCTCTGACTAAATAGTTTCATTCGATTGCTACCTATGGTAACTGGAAAACTGGTTACCGTGTGTCGGGAACGGCTTAGATTTTAATTGCGCCCTAATATCACCATTAATTGATCTACAGGGTGTCCCAAAAGAATACTGACCAATTTTTTATAAATCAGACATAGATTATGTATAGATTAAGTATAGATCGGGCATAAACTGGACATAAATTGCACATAAATTGGACATAAATTGGACATAGATTAGACACAGATTAACTATATTAGGTATGGTTAAATATGGTTGGTTCTGGGTTATGTATGGTTAGGTACGAGTCAAACAGTAGAGGCACCAATTTCAAAAGTCTTTTAAAACCATCGCCATCAAGGAAACTCGATAGCCCAATATAATGGAAAGAAAGATTGGGAATCGATGGGATCAAAGTGAAAATTTGAAAGGAATCAAATGACACTGTGAACCAAAGTGGTACCAACGTGGCCATACAGGCGTTAACGTAACGCTTGCAGCTGTTGTCAATTTATCGCATGACGTATCACAGTACAACACCATACTGTGTTGCACGTGTTAAACAAGACAAGGGGGTGGTTTACTCGGAGTACTTTCCGCTCCCCGTTCCTCGTCTTTCACGTTGTCAACACCAGTGCACGTATATGAGATCCAGGACAATTTGTATACTCGGTGTGCCGAGAACAATCTCGTCGAACTGCATCAAACATGTGCATATTGACTACTTTCTCAAACTTTTTCAGGTTCTGAGCCTTAGTTGTTTAATCCTTGCAGAAGTGATGACATTCATAATTGCACAGATAATGACGACTCGGTCAATTCAGACAAAACCCCTAATTTTCTTTACTAGAACAATTTGGACATAAATTGGCCATAAATTGGATATTAATTGGACTTGAAAATCAAGTTCGTCTAGATTTCTGGATGCGTGTTTCCAGGGTAAAAAACGACTCTAGTTTATAAATTGTTTCGTCAAATTATGGATACCTTTCCAACAAAATTCTTTGATTTATCTTGGATAATAACGTTCGTCAAGACAGCTTAATTAAGCTCTCCCATCCCCGTACAGTATCGAAGCACCCTGCGGAGGGTTCCCTGTGTGATAGTACAGCATCATCCGCGGATTTAAAAATGTGTCCGACAAGCAAGCTCAATCAGCCACGTCTGATGAAGCCTGGAACACTATTTTCGCCGTGAACAGCGGTCGACCATTTCATCGTGGCCTGTAACTCGACGAGATGTCGCTGATGCTGGCGTCCATACCCTTCAGCGTTTCATGTGGTTACGCGTGTATACGTGTATATGTGTGTGTGTGATAGTGATCAAAGAGAGGACAATAGCGAAGGAAGGCACAGGAGTGCAATGGAGGAAAAGGAGCGGTTTAGGAAATGAGTGGACGAGGTTGAAGGAAATGAGTGGAGGTGGTGGAGGCGGTGGAGGTGGTGGAGGTGGTGGAGGCGGTGGAGGCGGTGGAGGTGGTGGAGGTGGTGGAGGTGGCGGAGGTGGTGGAGACTATTAATGTGGTAGAGGTGCTGGAGGAGGTGGAGACTATTAATGTGGTAGACGTAGTGGAGGAGGTGGAGACTATTAATATGGTAGAGGTGGTGGAGGCTATTAATGTGGTACAAGTGATGGAGGAGGTGGAGACTATTAATGTGGTAGAAGTGGTGGAGGTGGCGGAGACTATTAATGTGGTAGAAGTGGTGGAGGAGGTGGAGACTATTAATGTGGTAGCAGTGGTGGAGGAGGTGGAGACTATTAATGTGGTAGAGGTGGTGGAGGAGGTGGAGACTATTAATATGGTAGAGGTGGTGGAGGTGGAGGCTATTAATGTGGTAGAAGTGGTGGAGGAGGTGGAGACTATTAATGTGGTAGAAGTGGTGGAGGAGGTGGAGACTATTAATGTGGTAAAAGTGGTGGAGGAGGTAGAGGAGGTGGAGGACTTTGAGGAGGTGAAGGAAATTGATGAAGCTGACAAATATAGGACTCAAAGGCTACAGGGATCAATAAGGATCAATGAGGATCAATAGGATTAAGGGCATTGGAGTTAGTCACAAAAGAAGAATGGAATATCCTTGTTAGGGTGAAACAAAGCAAATAGGGAAGCAAGCTAGGGGAAGGGGACTGAAGCAGGTGCACAATGAGGGATGAATGTATGGGTTCAGGAATGAAATAAATGACACACGTAGAATTAGAATTGAAGATAGCGGGGAGCATAAAACGGGAGTGAAGGAAAAATCCGCAAGGGAATTGGATGAACATGGGGAAAGACAGAAGGGTCTACAATGTAGAGGGGAAAATAAAATGTGACGGGAAGGGGCGAAATTATTTAAATATGTGGCGGACAAGTGGTGAGCAAAGTTAAGACGAATGGGGTAAAAAGACACAGGTAGGAATGGAGTTTTATAACGTGGCTCTGGTTTCTGTGCTGAGTAAACAATGAAGAAATGTGTGATAGAACACTGCACTTCTTCTGTTGCGTGGGTTGTTTCCTTTGCTGGTTTGGAATACTTGTAATATGTAAAATGCTGATGGAAAATTACTCTTTCCTTCTTCTTTGTCTCCTTCTTCCGCAATTTCACCATTTTCACGGTGGAGTAGCTTTATTCCCGTCTGAATTTTTCAAATTTTCATTCCGTAGGTTTACTTAATCCTCAGAAATGGTAAAGGGAAATGGTCCATAACAAATATCGAGGTATGACGACATAGGAGGTGAATCCACGCCAAAAGATTAAATAAAAACGTGTAGAATAAAATTTTCTCACAAAAGGGCTGCTTCAGTTTCAAAATGTACAACCTATATCTGACCATTACCATCTGTTTCTACTTAGTTCCTACAATAACGTGATGTAAATGAACGAGTCACGTAATGCAAAATCGATAAAAAAGAAGCAACAGCATAACAAAATTTTTGTCTGCCTAGGAATTTTTTGAAATACGATATGCTCAAAAAATTAATCGCCAAACAAAAACATTTTATTCCAAATTTTCGACTCATTTTCACCAATCTGGAATTACATCCTGTTCAGTTTCACCGTACCCTGTCTTCAAATAAGAAAATATACCATGAAATTGACTATTTTGTTCAATTTTAAAAAATCACATGTTATGAAAAATTTTCTTTTTACTAACTTATGTACACATTTCGGTATCGGAAGCCTTATTTGAAACTGCGATAAAGTCGTGAAATATGTCTTCAAGAAATTCCCCGAAATTATTCCGGAATTCCGGGGAACTCGGGGGAATCTGTCGCGTAACTTCGCGAACGTCTCGCGTCATTTCCGGCGTGTGCAAAGCTCCACGCCAGAATTATTCCCCCTCCCTTCCGCACGAATGCAGGAGACAACAATGTACCGAAACGAACTCCTCCCGCGAACTTTAACTATGTAATACATTCCCGCAGGCTGGGAACACGTCCGATGATAGTTTTCCATCAATGATCGAGCCACGGCCGGAGTTGCTTTGTGAAGCGGCGCGCGATAACAAACTTCGGAGGTCTGCATTTGTGTCACGGTTTTATTAAAACTCCACTCGACCTCCGCGTTTAAGGATGAATCGATGCTACGCGAAGTGAATTTTCCGAGTTGAAAATCGATTTTATGGAATTTCTTTGTGAATCCGATTAGGAAAATTAATTTAAGCTCGAGGTTCGTTACATTTTAATTAACTCCCCACACACCAACAGCATTTATAATCTATTCGTTTATTTTTTTCGAATCAACGGAAAAGACCTGAATAGAAAAAATTCGAGGATACACAAATTCAAAATATACACTTCTTGATAGAAATTGTGAATTTTGAAAAGGGAAAAAGTATCGAAGTACTACTGTACTTTCTATTAAACATTTATATTGCGTGTAAAGTGTTGAGAATTTCCAATTGATGTAGTGATCGATTGTATTTTCTTAATAGAATAAAGTTTAATGAAACAGGAAATGAACAAGTATCGAAACACTACTGTAGTTTCTATTAAATATTTATATAGAGTGTAAATTGTTAGGAATTTTCAATTAACGTAGTGTTTGGATGTATTTTCTTAATAGATAAGTTTAAACACTTCGTAAATTGGAAATTACCAACAATTTATAGGCTGTATAAATGTTTAATAGAAAGTACAGCAGTGTATCGATACTTGTTCATTTCCTATTTCATTGAACTTTTTTCTATTAAGAAAATCCATTCAAACACTACGTCAATTGGAAATTATCAACGATTTGCAAGCTATATAAATGTTTAATAGAAAGTACAGTAGTGTTTCGATACTTGTTCACTTCCGAAAATTCACAATTATATCGTCGAGATATCTTCGTCGAACGAGATCCACTCGTGTCTCGATTAATTGTAAAAACCGACTACATTAAGTAATCATGCGGACGTGGCTTTTTACCGTGTCTTCTTTCGCGGGATTAAAGGCTCTCCTCCGGCTGGCAGGAAGTAGGCCGGAAAAATTCTGGGCGAAGCTTTATTAAATTCCGTGAAACTCCGCGGGAAATTGCGAATTACACCACGCCGATGAAATTCATGGGCGAAATGGAAATCGAAATTGTAACTGGGATGAGGGGTGGATGACAGCTATTTTTTTTTTGTGACTTCGGATAATTTTCGTGTAACTTGAAGATCTACAGGGTCTTCCAGCAACAATTGACCAAATTTCAGAATCTCCTACAAACACTTTCTAGGTTTATAAATATCTGTGTTCTATGTATAAAAATAAAAAAAAATTTTTATATATTTTTTATGTAAAGAATGATGAGAAATCTGTGTCGATTTTTTTTGGACACACTGTATATCAGTAGGCCTGCTCTGCTAGGAGTTATCGCAACAGGATGTAATGGTGTCGAGGTATGAAAAATTCCTCGACGAAAATTGATGTCCACGCCACATATCACTTTTCAGTTCCGACACGTCCTCTGGTCTAATATCGAAGTTCGAGCCCTCGACTCCCATGGGTAATTTCAGCCTACGTTGTCTCCGTATATCAATGAAAAACTGTACCAAAAATAAATACTTCGTCTTGTTCCGTTTCTCACGAGCTTTGCCTATGTTTGAACGTAGTCAGCGATATATAGCACTATAATTGAGTTGTTATATTGTAGTTTCTTAGAAAATTTGGGTACTCAAGATTCTTCTAGCATCAAGAAAAATTCGTTTTCCTTCGTTTAGATTACTCAAAGTTTATTCATGCTTGATGAAATGATCGGTCATGTTGGAGTATGTTTGAGCAAGTTTGATCAAAAGTCCTGTCATGTTTCTCATCATTAATCATTTTTATCTTAAGGACCAATGGGATTATTGTTTTTCAAAAAGTATTTTCCAGTGTACAATATTAAATTTCATAGAAAAAAAATGACGTAAGAATTATAAATAAGAATATTTTTGAGATGTAAGAATTTCTAAGGATTTACCGTACATTTTCAAAGGATCGATCCGGGATTGGTCCTGTTGAGAAAACTAGATAATTACACAGCAGTTCTATCAACACGTTCGAAATATATCTCGAAGTCTGTTGGACCAAGGATACGGAGAACGGGCGGATTGCACTCGGTTCATGAGAACGTACGCGCTCGAGGAGATAATCGATCACATTGTAATACTTTCCAGAGGGTGCGGGGTTCACGGAGATGAGACCAATAAGAAACATGTGACACAAGCAGCAAAGTAGAATTTCTGATCAGGTGTGCCGACAACGCTTAATTCTGTTTTGGAGTACCTACCTAATAAAAAAGAAAGGAAACAAATCCCTAACATACTTTCATTTCAGTAAATTAATTCATAAAAATCTGAATTTGCATGAAAATCCGCAGTTCAGTAATAATAAATACTTTCTAAATTAGGGAAGCATAGTTGACACGTGAAGTATTAAGTTCATATACAGGATGCACCATGAAACGCCATTAGCTTAAATTATTCTATTGCTAAAAACAAAAAAGACTGAAGGATAAAATCTATAAAAACTGCAAAAAGGATTGATAAAAAATTTGATACAATCATCTTCAAGCTCTCTTTGAATCATGTTATATTAGTAAAAAAAATTTTCAATCCAACAGCTATCAGTAGAATAATCTAAGGTGACCTAAATTTGCGAGTGACCACGTTTCGTGGTCCAAAAAAGAGCAATAAGATCAACAGAAAAACAAAATTAAATTACCGTAAGAAATTTCATAGCCAATACGCTCTTTACGATTCAAAAAACCCTCACAGAACTTCAACCTAACGCCCACATTCGTTTCCAAACACATCCAAAAGATCCCTCCCAAATCAGCCCAAAAAGTCCAGCCTCCCCTCGTACCCAATCAACCGCCGCCGAAACCAATTTCGAGTCCACCAAACTGTGCGTCCCAAAAGTGAGTTATAAATCCTCGGATCAAACCACCCTGTGTCTCGTTCATCATGGCCTGAGACCACCAACCCCTCACCCCCATCTCACCCACGGTTATCTCGAAACCGGTCATCGAGGCTCGAAGAACTTCCCCCCACACCCTTCCACCTACCCCAACCCCCTGAAGGTTCGAATGCGTCGAGGGTTGGGAAAAAGGCTGGTTCACACAGCGCCTACTTGTTGGACGTCAGGTGGGGGTAGACGAAGAAGGGCACCGGCCACCTGATGCTACGCCACTGCGCCATCGATCCCCCAAACTACCCCACCGACCGTCGCCATGGCGACCAGCGACACCCTCCCCACCATCCAACCCGCGGCCACCACCTCGAAGGAACCACGACCCCTCGTTCCAACCCTCCCGTGTCCCTCGAACTGGAGGTGAGTGACGTCAGGTACTAAACATTAACCGCGGCGTGAACGTCGCTCGTACGTGCACGTTACACCCCCCCCCCCACCCCCGGCCACTTCATCTTCTTCTGTTTTCCTTTACGGAAAAACGTAGTAGGCTGGACATAAACTTGGATTCCATTTACACTAAGCAGGATAGTCAACGTTAGGTCACGTTAGGCAATGTTAGGTAGCATTAGGTATGAGTTAAGCCTGTTAGGTATGGGTTAGGTATGTTAGGTTGTTTTTTTTTCGTGAGCAAAC